GAAAATGTTTTTAAGAGCTGATTTGTCGTGGTGCGCCAGGTTGAGAGTGCTGTGTTTCCAACCTGTCGTTTTTGGTGTGCAGTAAATAGGTTGAGAGAAAAAATACATCAGAAGGAATAAACAGAGGAGAAAACAGATGGATTATCTTTTAAAGAATTCATTATATATTTCCCTGTGTGAAGAAGTTCAGCACAATCACACCCAGATCATGTGTGTAAGCCATAAACACATACTGTTTGTCACCAAACCAACATTTGCTGGGCTTGACGATCCAAACTCATCCATTGGCGGTCGTGTCCTTGTTTGCTATTGTTTACACTATACATACGAGTAGATCTCATGAAACTTGGATTTTTTTCTTTAATATATCTAAACATAACCTCATCTGGTAAAAAATTATAAAATATAAAACATAATTTTAATGAAAAACTTGGAAAACTCAAAAGCACAGATTTCAGAATGGTGCCAGTGACTAGAACATCTTTGGGGAGTGACCTCTAAGGCCTGCAGGCAGAGAGTCACACATGAAACTGGTAAATTATCCTAAAACAGATCATTCAGCTATAATAAAAATCATCCACACATAGCAAAGTTTTATATTAATGTCTGTTTGTCCAGGACTTGCTGCCCATTGTCAGATTGTCAGATTTTAACAAACAGAATCAAAACATTTGACCACAGGTAACTTTTAGAGCTGCATCTACAATCACAAAGAGATTGCGCAAATCTGACATACCTGAAAGCGTGCTGGGGGGAAAATCCTTTGATATCCAAAAAGAACATCACTTTAAAAACTAAAGCATTTTAACACCACAGAAGTCCACCAAGGAATTGCTTTGAAAGAAGAAATGTAGTTATGAAACTAGACTTGAATCCCCAGGAAATATTGAAAAATCAAGAAAACCATCAAATATCTAGAAACTAAATGAACTTAGCATGTAAAAGTGGTGAAGATTTTCAGTCAGCTGATTTCAGAGGAGGCAGACAGTTATGCAACAGTTAGTAGTTATTTCTGCTAAAGAGGACGATACCATGCCAGCTGGTGTCTTTGAAGCCAGAACCTTCTTACTGTGGGGCAGCAGTGCTAACCACTGTGCCACCACGCTTGCTCAGCTCAATTCAGTCTTATCCATATAGTGCCAAATCACAACAGTCGCCCCGAGGCACTTTATACTGTAAGGTATAAAGTGGAGAGAAAACCCCAACAAACAGAAGACACCCCATGACCAAGCAGAACCAAAGAAGAAACCTCCATCACATTGAATATTATTTAAAGAAATTAAAACTGTTAGTGAAGAGCACATTTCAGTCCCCAGTACAGCAGTCATTAATAGCAATTAGGTTTTGTTCATACTGAAATGTCTTTAGCACAAATTAGTCTCCCTTTGACTGTGGCTTGTTTGAAGTCTCCTATTTCCTGTCCAAATCAGCAGAGCAGGAGCAAATGCACCAGCTCACTAGTTGCAAATAGATAAAACAACACTGTTTTTACCTAACAAGAGCCAGAAAAGTCCTGTTGTTGAACTTGATGCTAGCACCAGTTATTGAGCAAGCTTCAAAGTGCTGCTAGTTTATACATCACTTAATTACTTATTGCCACAATATATTTGATATGCTTGGGAAACATAAAGCCAGCAGGACCCTTAGAGGTCTCAAACACATAAAGTTGGTGGTCCCAGAACTTAATGAAGTCCAGTTCAAAATAAATAATTCACACTAACTTGTGTGTTGTGACAGAAAAACTGCATCGGAATAATTCTGGAGGCAGACAAAGATGAAAATTATGCGCGACCATATACAGTTAGGTCCATAGGTTTTTGGACTATGACACATTTTTGAAATTTTGTCACTGGAGTGTCGACGTTCAGCTTTGATTTGAGGTGTTTAATAAAGGTATTGTATTAACAGTTTAGGAATTACAGACATTTTCATATATAATCTCCTATTTTCAGAGGCTCAAAGTATCTGGGCAGTGGACTGACATGCAGATTGGTGAAGCTGTTATTTCACTGTACGCTAAGCAAATTGGAGATCTGCAGTACTGAAGTTGTATTTGGTATCACAATTATTGCACACATGGGCATCCTCAGGGTCTCCCCAGGATGCATAACATCCATTCTTTCAAATTATAATTTCCATGATGTTTTCTTATTTTATTTTACTGCTTATTAGATTCCGTTTTTAAATGTATTTATTTTTTAATTAATTCGAGTTAAAATCTTAGCATCTTCAGCTCTACACTGTCACTTCCAGCTCGGCCTCCTGTCCTTTTGTTCGTGCCACCGTCTCCAGGCTGTACGTCACAGCAGCTCTCACTACCATCTTCTAAACCTCTCCTTTCACTCTTGCTGCTATCCATCTGTCACAAATCAACACTTGTCTCTGACGTCCATCCATCCACGCGCTCTCTTTTCATGGTTAAAATATAATGACTTAAATGTTATTTTATAGATTAAATTTGCATCTACAAAATGCTGATAGCAGAAGTGGAGTATAAACCTCAGCAGAAAGCTATTAAACACATTTAAAAAAATCCACCTAGTGTCTAGAAACTTTTTAGCATTAGACCAACTTGTAGGGCTGTGCGATATGACCAAAATCTCATATCCCGATATAAGAATTCTATCGTCC